CTTTTTGTCAGAGGAAGAGTACACAGCTGAATTAATGGGATGCACCATAATCTTCCAGCATGCATACATACCCCGTCAAACATGTTTGCACTATCTGCTTCATTATTAGTTTGATATGAAGAAGCTGGGGAAGGTGCAATCCTCATTCTCAAATGTACTATTGTTTGATGTTTTCTTTTGTGAGGGAAATGCTTTGTTCATGCATAGAGAAGTGTGTTCTGCTTATAGTACACATAGGAACTCCTGCATAGAGGTCTGGGTATATATCATACACCCCATAGTGCTGAACAATGGGCTAGTTAGTGAATTTACCGCAATTTTAAATTGCACTATTGGCTCTATTTGAAGAGTAGAAGGGTCTGCTGAGCTGGTATAAAGGTTATTAAGACAGGAGTGATGTATCAGCAGTTATATTACCACAGCAGAGTAGAACATGATGCTGTTTCAATATGGCAGTGATATTGCAGCATCCTGATTGGCAGATAGTCTGCATCCAACCTCCTGATTCTAACAGAGTTTAGTTATCATTTACATCAATGGGGAAAGTTAGTTGTAACTTAAACACCATTGATTTCAATGGAAACGAACTGTAAGCGGCTTAGTATCCAACCCAGCTTTTCACTATTTGCACAGGCCTACCACTTTTTAATGTAGCCATAGACGTTCCCACATACTTTCACAAATAAGAATGGAAGAGGAGATTCTTAAATAGCAGAAGTAATCTTCTTGCTTCATGTGATGAAAAATATCACAAGCGGATAAGAAAAGCAGGTTTAACATGCTGATCTTTGAACAGAAGGTCAGTGGTATGAATAAAGTGTAACAATCCTGGATTTATTCAACCTGCAGTGAATATTTTGTGCTGGTAAAACTGGCTCGATATTATTCATGCTCTTCAAACATTCTGAAATGAAGCGACGGAGAGGTATGCACATCCTTTGCACTGATTCACCCTGATTCCACAAAAGCCATGTAGAAATGATTAAATTCCAGGGATAATCAACCTGCTGTGCACTTAAGTTCTATAGGTCAAAATTTCTCAGGAATGAAATCAGATAAATTTCCTGTGGTTTTTCTTTTCTGCCCTCTTCTTAGCCTACTGAAGTCCTCCCCCATATATATTTGGGAATAGCTGTGGATCTAGTTTTAATATTGTTTAAAATCATTTTAATATCCTTGAAGGATGCAGTGGATGTGGCTCCACTCTTTCCAGTTCTCCTCTCTACAGAAAACCATACTATAGGCAACCCTATTATTAAGAGAGTTTGACACCCCTCCATTCCTTGGCCAAGCATTAATAATGTCTGGAATTTCCAATCTATAATTCACAGTTTCATTGGATAAAAATTATACCATGACATAAGATTTAATTCAATCCTGCCAATGTTTTCATATTTCTACAGTTCTCACTTATATAAACCATAAATTTACTCCATTATTTTTGGTACTTCGTCTCCTCCTGATTGCAAATTCTGTGTGTCAATTTTGCCATTTCAGCGTATTCAACCAGCTTTATCTGCCATTCCCTTACAGTCGGAATCTCCTGTAACTTCCACTTTGGGGCTATCAAAACTCTAGCTGCTGTTGTTGCATACAGGTATAGTCTTTGGTCTGTCTTCTTAATATCTTCTCCCACCAAACCTAGCAGAAATTCTTCCAGCTTTTTTGGAAAAGTATATTTAAACATCTTTTTTAACTCATTATAGATGGGGCTTAAAGTGAAAATGAATATCCCCAAATTCAACATTTGGAGGAAGGGCCTTAGTTCAGCAGTAGAGCAACCGCTTGCATGCAGAAAGCCCCAGATTCAATACCCAGTAACTCCAGGTGGGACTGGGAGAGAATCCAGCCTGAATTTCTGGAGAATTTGGACACTGTAAACAGTGCAGGGCTAGATGAATCATTGGTCTGTCTCAGTATAAGGCAACATCCTATTGACCATTTTGACTTGGTTAGCTTGCAGGTATTATTTTCAGTAGCACATAGCAGACCATAAGACAGACATTTGAGCTCAGTTCCATGGACTGATTCTTTTTTAAAAAAAACAAACAAACAACATTCACCCAAATATTTTGTTCTCTGATAGCAGTTTTTCACCAGTTTCTTTTCCTCTTGCGACAAAGGAGCAGGTACCAACAATGGCCTTCCTGAAAACTGTCCTTTCTTCTTTTAATGCTTGTTCCCAGCTCACAACAGAAACATGACTTTCTCAAAGATGAAACATTTTAACCAATTTATTTTATCGCTACTTTGATTAAATTCAATCACATTGGTAGTGTATGCTGTGTTTCCTTAATTGCTTCTTGGCAACTAGCCGACTCACTCCATTATAATTATAATACCCTTTATATCTAATAAGCAATTTGATAAAAGAAAATTTATTTTTGTAAGCTCTCTTTATCAAAGACTTTCTTAGAGTTAATGTTGGCAGACTTGCCCAGTAATGATTTGAAGCCACTTTCTGTTTTTTAAATACAGGCTCAATTCAATCCAATTGAATAGAATTATTCTGGGCCAGACCCTCAAGTCTCTCACTGGCTCCAGAATGCATCTGCAGAAGAAGCATGGAGACTAATCTGCCTAATCTGAGTTTAACCTAAATAAATAAATAAAATGAGTCAACGTTGTTCTTGATCTTTATTAAATATATACTACACTTGATCTTAGCCAAGGTCTTCATTTGAAACAGGATTGCTCATCCTATAACATTTGTGCTCCCAATAGAAAGCAATTTAAGTATAAGAAGAGAAAGAAAAAGAAAGATAGCAGTTGTGGCTGGCTAATGCCATGGCCATCCTGCTTAAGTTACTTCACGTGTGTTGTTCAGCAGAGCTCTTATGGTGCATAGGGAACATCTCCTAGCTCTGACAGGAAACATTTTCCCCATTCATTTCAGTGGAGATTCACCAAAGTCCTCTCTCTGGATTCAGACCTTCATTGGCTTACTCTTTCAGAATATTCGATTAATGGCATACATAGAAAAGCTTAAGTGCAAGCTAAGTTAGGAATCACCTCCTCATACCATCCTTCCCACCCCCTAGGAGCAGAAGTCTCTGTGTCTCACCAAGGGTGGAAGCATGGCTGTATTGGAAAGAAGGAGGGCCTTCTTAGTAACTGCACCCAGATTGCAGAACACCTTGTGCTTTAAAGTACAGCTGGTTTCCACTCACTGTTTCTCATCAGTTACTGAAAACCTCATTATTTCAGTTAAAATGATTTTTTAAACTGTTGACCTGGTATATTTTGTAATTGCTTTGTACTCTTTTTTATGGAATTGTGATGGTTATATATGTCATCCAGAGTGATGTATTTACACTAAAAAGACAAGGTATAAATACTCTTATGAGCAGAACAGAACAAAACAAAACAAAACAAACCAAACCAAACCAAACCAAACCAAACCAAACCCTACCTTTAAAGAGCTTTGCATTTCAGTCATTGTCTCCAGTACAACCGGGTGTGCATTCAGGAGTTAAGGCTACATGTACACAGCCCGCTGCAAAAAGGAAGTGGAAGGACCACATCCATCTATCTGCTTCCTCTTCAGCAGCTGATGGACTGAATAACTCTCCTTGAAGTTCTAGCAGCCAGAAGCGACAAGATTGAGGAGCCAAACTATGCATGCAGCACTCATTTTTATTTGTTGTTCCACACCCAGAGAGGTGGAAGCCTGCTTCTATAGTTCAATTGGAAGCTTATCTTATTGCTCTCAAATGGCAACGTTTAGCAGGGTTTTGAAAGTAATCAGACTTCAGCCAACATCAATTTTTCTGTTGGGGATTGTATTTCTTTTTCAGGGAATGTGACGGTTAAGGGTAGGTGGGACTCATTAGACACTGGAATTTAAATGCTTAATTTAAGAGTTGCAATGTTCTTGTATAACTGCATTAATTCATTAACCCAGGTATTACTTTTTATGACCCTTGAAGACAATAATTCAATGCCAGTTTATCACAGGGAATGTTGTGGAGCAATAGATGGTTTTGGGTCCAGATGTTTTGCCAATCCAAGACGGTTGAAGGCACAACACAAAGTGCCACAACTCCCATCCCAAACTGTGACCCCCATCACACTTGGACTTGGGGGGAAAGCCTTCTGATGACTACCAAATGGATCTTTCATGCCTAATTTTAGTGAGGGATGGGACACCTCCCATCTCATCAGTAGATGTCATGGACAATGCCAGAGAAGGGATTAAGGGGTTCCCACCCCCTCCAGGTCAATCACAGATGTGTCCTCAAGCAAATACTTGTTATTTGTGCATGTCCTTATGGAAATTTAATCTGTTAGTAAGAAAATCCAAACATATTTCCTTTGCATGCAGCCTAGATGCTCTTACTTGGATGAGATGAGCTCCCTTTTCGAAAGTGCCTTTCTGAAGCATATGTGCTGTTTGTTTAATGTTCTGCTGTAGTCTTTCTATATTGTGAAGGTTGCACAAGAGTCAAGGGAACTACATGGTGAAGCCACTGGGCAGTGTGATTACACTACCTCATTATTTGAATCAGAGAGCTAGAAGAAATAATGATTATCCAGTGGCTTTTCTGATAAGACGGAGTCTCTTTAAATCAGTTATTGTTCTTTTCTGGAGAGCATTCAGCGACTGTGTCCTTTGATGCAGAACCACTGGGTACTTTGACAGAAAATGCCTAGCTCCCTCCATTGCTGCCCAGTTGCTGGTCTCTTGTTCCCCAGCCTTAATGGCATTAGACAAGCTTCTCCTATCTGAAACCATTTGGGGAATCGCAGCAAATGTCCTCTGACCTTGATCACTGTGGAACAGTTTAACGAAATTTCTTCATACAACATGTTTATTTGCATAAATCATTAAGATGCAGGACAGCAATTCTAAGTGCATTTTAATTTCAGATATCTGTGCTTTGGGAAGAGACATGACACACCCACCCACACGGACACCTCCCCCCCCCCCCCGCAAAAAAAAAGAAGAAAATGCAGAAACAGAAAAGTAAATGAAATCTATTTAAGTTTGGGAGATGTGTGTATCATATATGTTGAACTTGAGGGTAAGGACTCCATCAACTAGAAAGAAAGCAGAAAAGTTTTGCACCCTCTTGGAACGATGCCACAAATGTACTCTGGTGACTGGTGAGAATAAGAGTAGTAGTGAATCTCTTTTATGGTGCTGTTTTCAGAACATAATGTGCTGGTTTTATGGCATACCGCCACAGCCAATGCCCGAATTGCCGATGGAAATGCAATTTAGGATCCTGAGCAAGATCTAGCAGTGCTCCAATAATTTAATCATATCCATCATAATTTTCATCCCATATCACCATTAGGTGATAATTACTTATGTTAAAGGAAGGCATTTTCATCTACATCCACTGCGGTTCAACATCGCCTCTGAATTTCAGCAGAATAAAGCTACAGGGAGATAGAGAGGAAACAAAAGAGCCTTTTGATATCCTTAAGGCTTGAATGACTATGTACTTAACAACAGCATGAAACACAGATGCAATGCATCTTTACATCTAACAGGCTGTTTATGGGGGATCTATGGTCAGTCCTCACTAAACACATCATAAACACATCCCCGAAGGTCTAATGTTTTATGGTTGCATCTCATAAAATCATTCCTACTTTCAGAGAATGTGTTTATACATTTGGAAGTTTATCTGTATTCTACACTTTTTTTACAGCTGGAAGTCAGACATTTCATTTTGTTCACTTTTCTCTTCCAGTTAAAGGCAAGGTAAAATGCATTTGATTTGCCAAGCCACTATTCTATGTCTTCCTGGTAAGGCCCAGTTTGCCTATGTCAGGACTGATAAGCAGATGGTTTAGTAGGCTCAGGCAGGTGCTCACCCTGTACAGAGCATTGACTTGTCCAGATTGATGAGCCATCCCAGAAACAGCAGAGATATACTGTACTTGTCTATCAAAACAAAAGAATCCATCACCTCTATTTCTCCACCCCTTCCTGTCTCAAACTTGGGTGTTGCACCAGTCAGCTTGGATGTGCCTTTAACTTTTTGGAAAAAACCGTGACAGAAGAGCTACTTGGAATCTTAGGGTCTGTGTGTCCCTGATCAATCTCAAAACTCATTGTAAATGACCCATTCAACTTGAGAATATGAGATTCTGCTCTCAAATAAACCCGCTTCACCTCATTCCCAATACACAGTACTAACACATAGTGGGGAAAGAAGTTGTTTAATTAAAATCTGGCTGGTTGATGGGACTTCCTTGGGATGGAGCTCTGAAAATCATGGCTGTCTTGAATGAGTCATGGCAGTTAAAGGGTAAGAACTCTATTTACCATCATTCCTTTTGTCTTGACTCCTACATGCCACACATTCCATATAGTTCTGGGACTTAAGTGTGGTGAAAAATTAAGGGGAAATGATATGAGAGAATAAAAATATCAAATTTTTTTATGGGCTGAAGCAAGACGTAGCACTCTACTAATACCTTGAAAGGGGTTGAGCCTGACAAAACATCTGGTTCCAAATTTTTACTGGGAATAAACATACAAATTTCTGATCCCATATAGACCAAAAAAGGTTTACTTACAAAGTTCAGTATCAAGTAACAGCAGCAAACAGGAATCCTTTACAGATGTCTCTAGCCCCTTCACCACTGTGAAAAGTTTTCTTCTTAGCCCCTGCTTCTTCGCTTTATGTGACTCGTATGTTGGCAACAGCAATCTTTAACAAATTCCTTCTTGAGGAATTTTAGAAATTCAAATGCCATAAATGTTGATTTACACTCCCCAGACACATTTGTAGCTCGAAATGTAGCCACTGGTTTTGCTTTCTCCAAATATTCTAGAAAAGTTATTGCAAAAAAAAAATAAATGTCAAACTGAGAGACAATACATTTAGAAATGTTTCTTTGACAAAAAATGTATTGTAAAATATCAGAATTTAGCTTTAATATGTATCACAGATTAATATGGAGCTGAGACTCAATGAATTTATTGTTGAATGCAAGTGAAACTGATAGAGAATGATTTGTCCATCCTCATCCGGAGACTAATTAGCTCTGGCTGTAACTCTACACACACTACTTAATTGAACAGTTATTTGACACTCATAGAAAATAACTAAACACGGAGGCAGTATTGCAGCAGAAGCACAAATGCAAATAGAAATCTCACTCTTTCTGCTTCTTCACCATAAGTGCCGCTCCTATCTCAAAGGCTAACAACAGCAATGAAGATAAACAGGTAAATCGGATAAATCATACTCTGGGTCATTACATTAGTTTTGTATGCATGTAGAAGAATGAAGAAAGGCAAATGTGGCAGGTATTTATAAACAAATCAGTTCCTCAGAGACCCTGACATTCTTTGGCACAATTGTTAGGTGACATTGCCTATTAATTTGAAAAGAAAATAATAGGTGGTGGAGGAAATATGAAAACAATAATTCACTTCTAGTATATAGCACAATTCTATGAAATGTCATTTATGTTTCTTTGCCCTGGGAGCAGACCAGAGTGAAAACTTCAGCAGCCAGGTCCAATCCCTGGCCCCACCCCCCAAGCCACAGCAGATTGGTGCAAAGTCAAACCTGGATCTGGCGGGAACCCAGAGAGCATTGTGGTGACCAGGCAAAGAGGCCAACAGCTGAAACAAACATGGTGTGGCTCCGCGGGGGAGGGGGGAGGAGCCGCCACGCTGGGTTGCAAGTGCCTCCCACCCTTGGACCAATTAAGTGCCTATTTCCTTCAGCCCTACCATCCATTGCTGAATGGGGTAAGTGCTGGAAGAAATATAAGCATGTCATTGAGAAGATAATGAAAATATTCACAGTAAGCATGGGACATGCCAGTGCCACTTTGCTGCCGCCACCAATGGAGCACAATGGCAGGGCGGCAGAGCAGGGCAAGACTTCCTGTTTTGAAACAGGACACATTACCTCTGTCTCTCATTTCTGGAGCACACACAAAACGAAGAAAGCTTTGAAAGTAGAAGCTTTGAAAGTGCTCATTCGGAGTGCTGATGTCTGCCATCTCCAAGGCACACTAATGTAGGAGGGGGACAATCAAAAGGAATTTGTTTTCAGATGCCATTCTTGTGTGTTGGGTTGAAATAAGCGACAGACGAATGACAAGTGTCATATGGGAGGCATCTACCGAGCATGTCTCGGAGAGTCCCTTTTATTGAATATTACAGCATTGCCCCATATGTGCTTGTTGCTGATTGGTTAACACAAATACAATGCAAGGGTTGTATATAAGCATTAATCATCAATAGATTAAAAGTTGGGAAAGAGAACACATGGTTAGACAGGTATGAAATCCTCCTTGTTAAACTATTACTAGTGATTGATAATGCATGTCTTAATAAACTATTACTAGTGATTGATATTGCATGACTTGAAAAAGCATAACAATCGCATTCCGTAGATGTGGTCAACAATGTGTTAAGAACAGGTCAGGGTATGATGTTTCATGAACTCAATGTGAACTGAACATTCCTAGACTTATGTGCAGAAGCAGAACTTCCCATCACTTGTGGCTTGTAATAATTTTTCATTGGGTTCAGGTTTGTTTTGTGTGCTCAGTTTTCAACATACGTTTATGAAGGTTGCACGCAACCCCCAATCTCTGCCAGATGGTAGCAAAATTCCAGGGTGGTGGTGGTTCAGGCACTTACTCAGGTTTGTGTTTCAATTGGGAATCAAGACACAGCAGAGATCATCATGTCTTTAAGAAATATGGTTTGTTAACACATATTTACACCTCGGTCTGAACACTTGGATGTTCAGAACATTACATCTCAAGAGGGGTTGTTCCCCTTGCAGTGCAGCATTGGATGCCCAAGGCATCCTGTATGCCATCTTTCTGCCTCTGTCCTAGCCTGTCCAGATGGTTCTGACCTTCAGCCCCAACATGGAGCTCTACCTATTTCCTCCTCCTTCCCAGCAGACTTTGCAGAAAAACAACTCCTACCTTTCGCTTCCAGCAAGCCACCTGTCTATAACTTTCATTTCAAATACCTTTTGCAAAAGGCCTGTGGTGACATCAGGTCCCCCTTTTATCTTGGTAGCCTCCCACTTTGTTGCCTGTTGCTGAATGTCTCACCTTTTGTCCGGGTATTGACTCTGCTACCACTTGTCTTCAAGGGTAACAACTTGAATAAAATATTGCAGGGGCTCAGGTAAGCCCCAGCCTACATAATCCATCAGAAGATGTGGCACATGCAAAAATTTGAAGGGCAATGCCCATCAACTTTGGGACGGGCCCAGTCCCAGTCCCCTGAAATATTTCATTGCGGGGAGGCGAAGGGACCTCAGCCCACAGGAGTTTCTCCAATGCTTGTCCTTGTTCCTGGGTGACACCTCTCTAAGCCTAGCCCCTGAGGAAGTTGGTTTGATTTCAAACCTCACATTTACTAATTTCAGAAATTATGGGGAGAACATGGCACCCATGAATTTAAGCAAACCCATAGTGGTAAATTTTGTACAACTGTGTTGTGGAATTGTTGGAAATTAAAAGGGTGACTCTGAATTGCCTGACACTAAAAATAAAAAAAATGCATCATGGCAGGCATCAATAGTGGGTCGTGCCAGGGCAGTGGGACACTGACAGTCACATGATAATGCCAATCATGAGTACTAGAGTAAAAAAAAAACAACAACTTTGGATTGTCAGGAAACACCTTTAAAGTTGTGGGAACAGAAATAACTGTAACTGACCTCATCTCTGGCCCTTCACAAAACATTTCAGCCTATTCAATGCTGTCATGAAAATCCTTTCTACAAAATTAATCAAAATAGGCTTGGAAACCTGTCATGTGAACTGAAACGTGACTGAACGACCATTAACAAAGGATAATGATACACTGATGTGTCTCAAGTTGTGGGAGGTGCCTGGTGGGAACTAAAGCAACTGGCATTACTTCCATATTTATTTGACATCTTCATTAATGATCTGGAAAGGAGTAAACAGCAGGTTAATGTAATTCACATATTATCCTGAATTGGGAGGCATTGCAAAATAAAAAAACAGCCAAGGCATGGAAATAATAGAGAGGGAGCTAAGATATTGGAAACATGGCCTTAGCAACAAAATGATATTCACTTTGGAACACAGCAATATAATAGTATCAGAGGGGGGGAATATAATCCAAAGCAGATCTATTGAATGAGGGAGTGAAACCTGAAAAGCAATAAAGCTTAAACAGCCATAGAGATGGTAATGGAGAGCAAATTAGTCAGGAGTGCATAACATAATGCAGCACAGAAAAGGGCTGAGCCATTTTGATGGAAATATCAATGTGATAGTAGAAAAAAAGATGGTAATAACATCAGCCAACATCAGCCCAGAGTAATCATACCTGAAACATTGTGTGCAATTTTGGGTAGCACCTTGTCAAATTCAAAGCATTTTATTGCAAAACCCGCCACACTACCAAGGGTCTTGGGGAAGGGAGACATTATCAGGAATGAATTTAAGAGATAAGCATTAATCTGTATATCATGCACAAGCAACATTGGAAGGAAGGACAGCTTTATATTAGGCTTAAACGCCCAAACAGGAAGCCTTGGTTATCTTTCCAATTGGATATGCTTCTGGGATGACATGCAGAGGAGAAAGTTGCAATTATTTCCATATTTATTTGACATCTTCATTAATGATCTGGAAAGGGGAGCAAATGGCCGATTTGCTTCTTTCTGCTCCCCACCCCAATGGGGTTAAACATGCCACAACCTTATTAAGAAACATAACACAATGCAAGTTATTAGACTACAAAAGGGTAGTTCTAACCCTTCCTACTGCAGTGCCCACAACTGGTATGCATAATTACCTGCCAAGGTGTCCTCCTGGGATAACACTCTGAAGTTAGCTATTCTTTTTGCAGGAAATTAGCCATTCTTTTTGCAGGAAAAGGTAAGTTCCCTACATAGCTACCTGCAATTCTTAATGGTCGTATTATATCCAGGTTGTACCATACCACAGACAGGAATTCCACTCTAAGGCCACTCAGCCCTCTGAATGCCCTGCTTTCCCCTATCTCTTCCTAGGTAGCCTTCACAGACAATTTCCTGTTCTGCACTGATAGCTAGTGTAAGGGACAACCTGAGTTGGTTTTCTCTCTCTTTCTCACCAACTGAATCCTACACACAGGTTTGATCCAGGTGTCTGAATCCCAAAGTCCACAGGTATTAATCATTATTATCTTCTGTATTTTTATCCCACTTTCTAGACCCAGCCACCACATGGTGGCCTACAATTAAAATGTTAAAAGCAGTAAAAAGAAGAAAAGAAATAGGAAACATTTAATCAAAATAGCATTGGATAAAATTCTATGAAGAAAATCCCTGTCCTCTGAGCTGCTATTACGTACTTTCAGTGTACAGTGGTACCTTGGGTTACATACGCTTCAGGTTACATACGCTTCAGGTTACAGACGCCTCTAACCTAGAAATAGTGCTTCAGGTTAAGAACTTTGCTTCAGGATAAGAACAGAAATCGCGCTCCGGTGGCACGGTGGCAGCAGAGGCCCCATTAGCTAAAGTGGTGCTTCAGGTTAAGAACAGTTTCAGGATTAAGAACGGACCTCCAGAACGCATTAAGTACCTTAACCCGAGGTACCACTGTAGAAGCCACCATGGAAGCTTTTCACTGAGATGATGAGATAAGGGAAAGTGCTAAACCCCTCCTTCCCACCTCCTGCAGTCCTGATTCCCTCCTCTCCCCCAGTCACATTGCTTTCATACAATCGACATCATGTCTGCTTCTTTTCCCCCTCCTGTATTACACACTGATAATAATTGCTTTGCTTGGTCATACACCTGTGCTTGTTTAGGAATTCCTATGGATAGGCTTTCCTGTGGCTTTGAAGGCTGTGTTGCAGAGAGACATTTGGAAGAGTGCTTCTCCTCCGCCCATCATTGTACAGCAGAGAGGAAAGAAGCTGCGTTTGCCAAATCTCTCCTTTCATGCAGGAATTCAAAGCAGACTATCCACCATTAGGCCGGGAGCTGGAAGCTCTCTCAGGAATTAGCCTTTTCTGGCACTGGCAGTGTTATAGTTGGCGACAGATATTCTAATCCGCTTCCGAATGACTAGTCCACTTGTGTGTTCTGTGGATTTTCATTTCCTACAGACGCTCATCTTCTGCCCTCTCCACCATAGTAACCTTGGTTTTTGTTTGTTTATGCATTGCGTTGCACCATAGGGTCATGCCAAGTGAAAATACTTACACTCTAATTTATGGCTCGCCTGACTTAAGTTTAATTTAAAAGAAGAAAATGGGAAGTTTGCATGCAAGCAATAGGTAGAGGTCTAGAATATGCAATATCCTGAAACAAATAATTCATGTCATTCTTCAGGCTAACATTTAGCAAATGTGGTGACATTTATGCAGTGTTAAATGATTGACACCTCTTAATTCTAATGTAGAAGCTAGTCTAGCATTTCTTTTAGAGTGCTAACATATCTATGTGACATTTCTTTGCAGTAAAACTGTCAGGTTTGTAGCACTTCCCATACATGAGAAATTTCTCTCCCTAACACAACATTATTGCAAAATTTAACCTTGTGTAGAAGGTTGTTATGACACCCAAACTTAGTGAAATATGGCTGAGGAGAAGCACAGTGACACTGTGACACAAGACGATTTATTTGTTACCTTTTCCTAATTTTTTTCCTAAAGCAGGGGTTTTCCTTATTTGTTAAGAAGCTCCATCTTTCACTTGCACCCACAGTGGGAAGGTCAGTGGCATCTAAGTGCAAACAAAGATACAATGTGATATATTAGTTACAGACAATGCAGGATTGGATATTGGAATTATATTTCAATTTATTTATGTGGACTAGTGCCGAGGCAGTTGAACATCGTTTGTAGCAGGCTCAGCAAGACCATAAGTGCCCAAGACCTGGAGACCTAGATTTCATGAGCTGATTTATTGTCATTTCATGTTCCAAGAGACAGGGTGTCTGGTATACATGCCCAGAATTGGCACAGCACTAATTCATCTCTTCATAAAGTCATTAGAACATTTCTTTAAAGAGGGCACTTTCAGAAGCCTATTTGAAGCTACACCTCCTGACCTGGAAGCCCTGTCTCCAAGTCCTAGATATGTGACTCTACCTATTCAGTTGGAAAAGAAAGGCATCTAAAGCAATTCAACCACCTTCTCTACAGATGTCACTGAAGTGATGGGGCCAGGGGCCGAGACCATGGCTAAGTGCTCCTCTGATAATGCAAAGAATGAAATAGGGCCCATTAGGTAGAAAATAGGCACCAACCCACTAGAGACTGAGATCCCTTCAGCCCACCCACCATAAAATATTTGAGGGATTGCCCTCCCAGTTGATGGGCATTGCCATTCCAATGATGTGTGCTTTGATTGATTAAGCAGGGCAGGGCTTACCTGCCCCCCTATATTTTATTCAAGTTGGCACCACAGAGGCAAGGGGTGGGTGCCATCTTGTCCTTTGTCTCAGGCTGCAAAATGTCTTGGCTTGGTCCTGAATTGGACCAAAGTCAAAGAGGTGCTTTGGAGTCTGGGACAATAGACAAGATGGCACCCACCCCATGCACACACAAAAAGAAAACCTGATTTGATTGGCAGTTCAATTTTACTGGCGATGAGTCAGTGCTCTCTATGGCATCTGAAAGTTAAGGCAGATGCTGGCTCCCAGCATCTCTCACTTGAGATGGTTTTGGATGTTAATAGATCATGCATCTTGCCAAAATGGAGCTCCCTCTTCTGATTCGTTATGTCTGCTAAAGTGGCACTCATGGATCTCACCTGTGATCTTGTTTAAAGCTTTGCAGCAGAATTGGGGATTTACAAGCATATGTCATGCTTCTTAACTGTGCATGATTGGCCCTTGGCGTGAAGTCAACTGTGACTGGCAACCACAACCGTTGTAAATATTTGTATAATTCCACAGTCAGAACGAAATGGGAGGTGAAAAGAAAACAGGGCAACCCTCCAAAATAAATGCCAAAATATTCAAATGCTTAAATATTTGCAGCCCGCAGACATAATTTATTTGCTGTTTTGTGTGGCATTAATATGGCCCTCTGATATAAGCAAAGACTCATGAGCATTTCCCATAAACTTTTAAGTTCAGCCTCGAAAGCAGAGATGGTTAAGTGTCTTCATGCTGCAATGTGAGCTCTTGTGCTCTGTTTGCACAGCAGCAAAATCTAAATATTGAACAACGGGAATGTATTATTGACTGACTCCATATTAAGCAACTTAACCTGAGAGAAACCTCAAGCACCTAACAGTTGGAAAAGCTCTATTTTCTCTTCTGTTTAATCATAGCATAGTCTTTTATTCCACAGTATTAAATATGCATAGACAAGTAGGCACAACGCATATGCCACAGTGGCACGATTTACATTTCCCTTACACAATAAATCCTGCTCCTATGAGCCACCATGGCAATGAGCCATTAGCTCCAATGGAAATAATGGCTTGTGGGATTGTGACCTGCTCCAGTGGTATCCATCAGGATTCAAAAGACCTCCATAATGAATCCCCTAATACAAGTGCATGCTCATGTGGAGCTCCAAGGGAATGAAGAAATATTTCTAATTTCGGGAGTACATCTTACTGTGCTTTGCATAATGACTGTGAATGTATTACATCAGATAAATGAATGAGAATAGCTTTTAGTGCGGCATTCCATCAGGGGCAAATAATAAATCAACAACCTATGAACCCGAGGTCCATTTGGAGCATGTTTAGAGCCCTCGTTAACCCACAGGGGCCAATTTGAATAGAAACAATTTTAATGAAGGAGCAGAGGAGCTTTTAATAATTTATTACGTCATGGGAGAAATGGAAACGTACCAGGAATGATAAAGTCTTTCTGAACACGAGCAGTATCCAGTGGCTTTGATGTAATTCTCTGGTAGCCCTAGGAACTTCCTCATTACACAAAACGGAGGATTGGTTGCCACGTTCAGTGCACACTTACTTGGGAGCATGCCCACTGAACTCAGCAGGGCTATCAAAGGATTGGACTTTAAGAAACCATCTGCTCGTGATGGAGAACCATTAGCCTTCCACAGATACCCCCAAGGATAACCTCACCCTGTTGCAGTCATGGAATGCCATGGGCCCATGTTTTCACACCCAGTTATGGGACCAAGTTCTGTCATTTTGGACTTAATGCCTTTGCAGGCTACACCACAGGCAATTCTTTACAAGTAGTAGTACACAAAGATTACTAGATTGCTTAGGCAGACATGAAGGAAGAGCTTAATCCGTTGTGGTGAAGAGACCAAAATCTAACGTGGCATTTTACAGATAAACAGTCTATCTTCATATTACCTTTGCAGGTGTGTAACAGAACTCAAAGGGTCTCAGATTTTGGTGTTCTGCTTTGTTTTTAAAACGAAATATAACATTAGGATGCTAAATTTGAACTGGAGTAGAAGTGGAGGTGAAGGAATCTTTAACCATTTCCCCCACAGTGTTTGTCTACTCTAGTCATACTGCCAAGCCATTTCCGCCCCCGCCACCCACTACAGGGTTTCCAATCCATGACTGGACATTTACTGTACATGTAATGTGAAGTGAGTCTCTACTTTTATTGTCATGTCACCTTATATAAGAAGAGCATACTTCTACAGATGTATGCACAGAGTAGACAGTAGGGCAGTGGAATATGGATGGATGGGTAACTAGACAGACAACGCAGGGGAGATTTATTTTTCAAGGTGTGATTAAAAGGTAAAGGAACAGATCCCAGTAACAGAAGTATGGCACTTGGTCTATTATCACTTGATAAGAGGTCCCCTGATACAAATGGAACTTACACACACTGAGATACTGCAACTGGGGGCTTAAGCTCTAGTGGATCAAATATCCAATATTTTTATTCAGATCAAGGGATGGATTGTTAAATCTGTAAATGAACTCCCATCCAGCAGCCTCACATTTATCAATCTGCATTGCTTAAGTATGGCATCTTTAAGGTCAAACACTGAATGTACAGAGAGACTGAAATATTGGTCTATTGGCTTTCTCTGTGCTGCCATTTTAAATGTCTGATTTATGTCAATGCATACCCTGCCACCAAAAGTAATCTCTTTGCTTTGTGTGAACTGTTAAAGAGCACTGCTGGCAGATGATTAAAGGATGTGCACCCCTTACTTGCATGGCTGATTGCTATTGGATGCAGACTCTAGTACTGCCAGATCAGATGAAGGGGTGGCTGGCAAGGGGTTTGTTGCTAGGCAGAATTCCTAATATCAGTTTTCCCTTAGAATGGTAGATCTTGTTAATTAATAAACTATTTGGCGCCATCGGTAATGGCGGACTCCCTCTGACTTTCTGAGGGACCAGCTCCATGGGATCGGGTCTGCACCGCTGCGACGAAGCGGGGACCCTTCAAAAATCACAGGCGGGTGAAGCCTGTGAACGTGGGACTCGGCGGGCACCTTTTGCGCCCCCCCAATTTGTGAAGGAACCCATTTCTGGGCTCCGGAGCGAAACGGGGTGAGCGGCGCGGTGCTGAGAGTCGACTGCTTCTTCCACGGAGTGAAACCGCACAGCCGTTATCGGAGAGCGCTGACTTTTTCCTGGGACAATTTGGTTTCAAAAGCAACTACCCGTGAGTAGGATAAAATTGGACTTAAAGGGAGAAAAACAATTAATTCGGCACCGAAGCGGGGAGGCATAAACAGGAAGTCCGCCTTCCGTTTCTTGTAAACAGATCAAAGCAAAGAGACTGTAAGCGGAAACTTTGACAGACGCTTGAAAAAGGACTCAAATCCTAACATCAGATAAGCGATCTCCCCTCCGGATTGCAGGAGAGGAGGGGGGAAAGGTTTGAACTGCATTTTTCTGCAAAAAAAGAGAGGAAAGGAAGCTAAAATCCACCGCTTAGAACCTGGGAACGGACTGCCTAGGGACAATAGGAATGCCGTTCTGTGAAATGCACTACTGGTAAATAGAGTACTGTTGACAGCTAACTCTGCAAGAGAGATACAGTGTTTCTGGACTTCTCCTGGTTTTAAAGTAACTGGAGACTAAGCGCAATTGAAACTGTCGTCTTTTTATGAATTGGGGGATTTAAAAAGGATATTTTCTTTTTAAAGCTACAAGTTTTGACTGTTACTGTGTCCCCCTAGAGGAGGTTTGACATTGTTACAATAACAACTGGGCCAGGGGAATTTTCTTAGCCGTGGGATTGACCTTGGATTCTAACTAGAGTGTTATGGCAGATGGAAGAGGAAAGTTAGAGTTGCTTCAGGAAAAAACTACGAGGTCTGGTAGATCCTTTCGTACAGATACTGGGTCGCAGCGGAGAGCATCAACATCTGGCCCTTCTGGACCATCTGGATTATCAGGGGCTGCACCTGTACAAGTTAAACCAAAAGGAATGTCGTCTGAAGACGTTTTAGCTTTGGCACTAGGAAAAATTAATGAATCTTTGAAAAACCTAAGTAAACAAGTAGCTGAAACAAATAAACAAGTAGCTGAAGCATCAGTTAAAATTGACCAAAATACTACAAGTATTAACAATTTGGGACAGAAGGTGAACACCAATACAGAGACTATTGAGAAATTGTTACAGGAATCTACTTTGACCCGAAAGACAGCTGAAGAAGCAAAGGACATAGCAACTGCTACTGAAGAGAAGATACCACCGATATATAGGCAACTCGAGGACCACAGGTTGATGTTGTCTATGATTGAATTGAAGGAGAAACAAACGAATCTGAGAATCAGGGCCGTACCTGAACTTGAGAAAGAT